GAGCCAGAATTGCCCTTTTACAAAATGTGTCAGACCATGTCTCTCCTGCTCAAAATCCGGCTGGGGCTCCGCATCTCACACAGAATAAAAGTCTGCAGGCGGTGCTGTGTTCCCTTGACTCCAAGGCTACCCCTTGACCTCATCCTCTGGCCGGCTCCCCATCACTCACCCTGCCCCAGCCTGGCTGGGTTCTTTGCTCATCTCCAGCACACCAGGCCCATTCCCCTTGGGGACCTCTACTGCTAGTCATTCTGCCCAGAACGCTCAGCACACAGGTATCTGTCCTCCTTCAAGTCTTTGCTCAAAATGCTTCATCCTCACTGACCCTCCGACCTACCATACTTAGAGTTGCAATCTCCTCTCCAGCTGTCCTGACCCCCCCAAACCCTGCTCTATTTCCCCCTTTTCCCAAAGCATTTTCACCAGTTGAGATACTAAATAATCCACTTACTATATATTTTTATTGACAATTTCCACTAACTAGAATGCATTTTTCCTGAGGAACAGAAATCTTCACTTTATTTACTGATGTATTCCAAATGCCTAGAACTGTGCCTAGCACACAGCAATGCCCAGTGACAGAATTTTCTAATAAATGAATACATGGACAGAATCCTTTCACAGTATATATATGTATCAAATCATCACATTATATACTTTAAATATCTTACAATTTTATTATATCTCAGTAGAACTGCAAAAAAAGATTAATCTTCTCCTGAAAATAGCATTTCCCTAGCAGTGGTTAATCCATAAAAACCTAAAAATTATGGGAAATCTTTTGACTTCAAGTGACATAAAACAGGGTTTGAGGATAGTGAAAATAAATACACAAATACAGAAATATATACATAAATGCATGGAAAGAGACTGAATGTATATAAAATAACCCATTAACTATAGGTTTTCTGGTAGAAGATTAATAGGTAAGCATTTTTCTTTTTGTTCATGTTTTCTAATTTTTCTATAATAAAGTTGAATTACTTTACTAATAAACGTTTCACTGAGAAAAATAGGTTTACTCTTGAGGATGATAGCAGTTTTAATAACTTTTTAGTCTACAGTTCCAATGGTTCACCTATAAAAGAGAATAGGTTAAGACACTGGAAATGTGGGGAAGGCACCCATTCTGAAGACATGGTGATGATCCCCTGACCAGACAGGGTGAGAAATTCTGTCTTGATTTGAGTTTCTCCAGAAGCAGACCCTGCAAGTAGCTGATCACAGAAGTGGCAGGGTAGGGAGAGTGAGACAGAAGAGAGAAGCAAGCCAGTAAAGGCAGGGTTGTCAGGCCACTTCCAGCACTGGCATTGAGCACTGCATCCCACGGACAAACTCAAGGGTGCAGAGCGTGCTATCCTCCGAAAGCTGCCGAGGACTCCTTCTAAGGGCATTAACTCCCTTGAATTTCCAGCACGCCCCCTGTGTTCCCAGAGCCAGAAAAAAAGAAAAAACAAAAAACAAAAAAAAACCTCAGGCAGAGGGTTGCAGGTGTGGGAAGTCCGTAGATTCCTCCAAGTGGAGATGAAGGCCAAGGGGACGTGGCTGAGCACCGGGAGGGCCTGCAGTGATCCCGTGGTTAGTCTCTGATTTCGCTCCCGGGGAGCGTCCCTATCCGTTGCCCTCCGTGGCTCCTGGATGTGGCCTCTGCCGGGTTCTACCTGGTCCGTTACCTCCAAGGCCACCTGTGAGGCGAGCCGTGCAGAGACTGCCCTCTTGCGGAGACTGAGGAGGTTGCAGCCCATTTTCGGCCGGTGCGTCTTTGGGCCCCCAAGGAAGGACTCGTTCAAGGCTTGGGCAACCAAAATTTTTGTAGTCTGAATTCAAGAACTCTTTGGCCGTAGAATTCCTTCAAATCCTTAGTAAGCTGAAATTTTCTTTTGCATTCATTTTTACGTGCCTGTATGCATCCCTGAAGTTCTCTACCAGACACAATTCTCAAGCCCAATTTACTTCTTTGCATCCTAACCCCTAGGCCTCTCTCCCCCACCTTAGTGGAAACCACCCTGAAGGCCCTCTGGGAAAGAGATGGGCCTGAGCATGAAGAGCACAGCCTTAAAGGAGTTTTGCTACAGTGGTGAGACTGTCGAGAAATCCTAATGGGCTTTTGTTTTGCTCAAAGCCTTTGTTTCACGTTATCGCTTACTCTTGGGGTTCAAAGCAGAAGGCTCCAGATTTCTGGACTCATTCTGATCCCCTTCATTTCTGTTATTGAGCTAGCCAATTATTGTCTGAGCTTGACTCTTCATTGCACAGACTCACTAAGCGAAACCAACAAGAACTGGGAATTCCCTGGTGGCCCAGCAGCTAAGGTCCCTATAGTCAAAGCTGTGGTTTTTCCAATAGCCATGTACGAAAGGGAGAGCTGGACCATAAAAAAAGGTGAGCACCAAAGAACTGATGCTTTCAAACTGTGGTGCTGGAGAAGACTCTTGAGAGTCCCTTGGACTGCAAGGAGATCAAACCAGTCCATCCTAAAGGACATGAGCCCTAAATATTCATTGGAAGGACTGAAGCCGAAGCTCCAATACCTTGGCCGCCTGATTCAGAGAGTCAACTCATTGGAAAAGACTGATGCCGGGAAAGATGGAGGGCGAGAGGAGAAGGGGGCAGCAGAGGATGAGATGGTTGGATGGCATCACAGACTCAATGAACATGAATTTGAGCAAACTCAGGGAGAGAGTGAAGGACAGGGAGGCCTGGCGTGCTGCAGTCCACGGGGTTGCAAAGGGTCGGACACGACTGAGCGACTGAACCACCACCACCAGTGGTTAGGACTCTGCATTTCCACAGCAGGGCAGAGGTTTCATCCCTGGTCGGGGAACTAAGATCCCCCAGGCTGCGCGGCTTGGTAAAAACAGACAAACAACAACAACAAAAAACTAACTCTGCATTTTCCAACTTCTTCTAAAGCCACTGGCTTGTCACACACTATGCTCATGAAGTAATCAAAAACAACAGTTTTATTAAGTAATTTGCCATTATCTTCATTGGAGAAGGCGATGGCACCCCACTCCAGTACTCTTGCCTGGAGAATCCCATGGATGGAGGAGCCTGGTAGGCTGCAGTCCATGGGGTCGCTAAGAGTCGGACACGACTGAGCGACTTCACTTTCACTTTTCACTTTCACACATTGGAGAAGGAAATGGCAACCCACTCCAGTGTTCTCGCCTGGAGAATCCCAGGGACAGGGGAGCCTGGTGGGCTGCCATCTATGGGATCACACAGAGTCGGACACGACTGAAGTGACTTAGCAGCAGCAGCATTATCTTCATCTTTTCTGCCTCCAATGCCAATTTTCCTGCCTTCCTCCACTCTGCTACATATTTTAGGGTCCCCAATGCAAGGGAGTAAAATTTATATTAATAATGATAAAAACATCTGCTGTACAAATTTCAATGGACTTAACACCATAAAAATCTTGTTCCCATTCATGAAATAGACCTGGGTGGTGACCAGGCCAATGTGCTGCCCTCCTCCCAGGAGTTATTCAAGGATGCAAGATATCAAAGCCCCTTTCAACATGTGGGTTTCCCAGGTCACCCTGAGAGTCATGTCCATTCTAGGTCCTTTCCAGCCAGTCAGAGACTAGAAGAGCATGGATGAGCTCCACTGGGAGGACGGTGAGTCTCATAAAATTTCCCCTCCCATTTCATTTTCTAGAACTCAGTTCCATGGCTTCATCTAGATGTAAGGGGCATGGTGGAAAGATGTATTCCTGGCTTGTAGCCACAGTGCTATGCTATGCAAAGGAGGGAACCAATCTTTTTGGTGGACAGTTAGTGCATCCCCCACAATTTAAAAGAAAATATATATATATATATATATATATATATATATATATATATATTGCAGATCCCAAGCTCTCTCTACTACACTTCCAGCTCTTTCCCTGATTATTTCTTTGGACTCACTGGAATAGGGGAATCGGCCAGGATGCTATTCTTGACCTTAAGGTGAACGACCTTGTTCACCTGATTCAATTTGAGAAGGAAGCAAGGAAAGAATGGTCAGGATGTCTTTAAATAACTGCTCCCTTTTCTATTTTGGTAAAAAAAAAAAAAAAGTCCTTCTCAGACTGAGCAATTACTAATGGCAGGTTTTTGAGACTTTTTTTTAAAATAAATAAATTGAAAACCTGAACCACTCTGCTCCTTGCTTCCTTGAGTGAGAGTAGGCAGAGGAATGATGGCAGGAAGTAGGAACCTGGAACAACGGTTATGCAGTGGGGCTCTTTTCCCATTAATTACTTTTCACTTGAATAACAGGCCACAGGAGGTGGGCTGTTTGCTGTCACTAATGGCTCACTGCGGAATAGGCATTGCCTGCTACAGAGACGGGTTGGAACAGGCACTCTGGGGGCCATCGTAAAATCAATTTTATGGAAGAAGTCACCGTTGTTTAAAACCAAACCCAATCAAAAATGGAATTCTCTCCAGCAACCGATTCAGTATGAACCAAACTCTTCTCAGATTCATTCAGTCATAAAAGTCCCTGGCACGCTCAGCCTAGAAGGAACAAGAGCAAGAAAATTTTCCTTTTTTTGTAGAATGTGGACTTTTGTGATTTAGGATAAAGTCTTACACACACAGCTGACTATCTGCTCAGATCAAGTCGTCCTGATCAGATCAACCCGCACAGATGAGGTTCTGATTTGTACTAAAGAGAGGGGGTTGCTCATCATGCAAAATAAATTATCCAATAGGGAAACTTTTATTTTTTTCATTAAGACCAGACTCATGGTGCATTTAAAACACAGTGCAGTACACACTCAACTTGTCAAAGATCCAGCAGTTGTGTAAAACGCACACCCTGTAATAACGTTAACGCCCTCAGCCCTGGGCTCGCAAACTCTGGGCAGCCCAGCTGTCACCGCCACGAACAGGTGGTGTAAAACAAAAGCTCGGCTCAGCCAGCTCACTTTCCAAACCCTCCAGCAGCCGAGTGTCCATCCAGAGAGTGCCAGTGAGCCGCACGGGCCGCCAGCCTGCCACCAGCCCATGGAGCCGCGGCCACTTCTCCTGCTCCTCGGACTCTGCTCAGGTAAGTGCCGGGGCGGGGGCTCTCCTGTGAGGCTGAGGCTCTAGAAGCCCCCAAACCAGGGTCTTGCTTCTTTGATGGGAATACAGAACGGCAGGGCTTCACCAGTCCCAGGCTGCTCTGTCAGTTTCTCACTGATGTTGGCTTGATTGTGTTTGCGGCTAAAGACTTTTTGCTTGGGTTATCCAACGAAAATAGGAGCTGCCCGATCAGAAGCTACAAAGTAAACCTGCCATTCTCTCCCTCCATCAATGTCTGCATCTGGGTCACCTGGATGATGGGATTCAGCACCTCTTCTACCATCCCAAAGTCACTATCATATTTGAACAACTATAGGGACTTAGCAAGGTGACTTATGACCATAAGTAATACAGTTAACTAGTCCTTTTATGGCTCTAGGAGAATTCTGAAAATGAAGAGGATTGATTGACAGCTCCATGTGCTGGAGGGAGAAACTTATTCATAACCACAACTAAACTCTCCATGAGAGAGGAACTATTTTGTAATCTTTCAAACTCCCGAAGTTAAAAAAAATTCATATGAATGCATTCCTGCCTTTTTTTTTTAAAGGACCTTACCCTATGTGGGTTTGGGTTTGAATTGAACCCATAAAAATCTTGCACAGCCCTTGACCTGCATTCAACTCCGGACTGTGTCACAACACAGCCACTGAAACGCTATCCTGAATCCCAAACTTCCGGTTGAGGGAAATAGATGTTGGCTGATTGTTTCATATAAAAGTTTACTGGTGATATCATCCCAACTGAGAAACTGACATGCTGTGATTTCCCTTCTGCATTATTGCTCTGACAAACAGGTCTTCTGGGCAAAAGAGGTGAAGAGTTTTGTTATTAGTGTTTTTCAATAGCAGAGTTGAAGGAAATAGCCTAAACTCTGGTAAATTATATCCTGTGGGATTTGGACTCAATCCAACCAAAGCTGGCCTGCTGGTGAGGGGTGTGTGTGTGTTTGCAAACACCACACTCAGTGGAAATTCTTAAGTGATATATTTACACTTAAAAATCTTTAAGAGATCTCTTAGGACACCGATAACCTCCAGAAATTCATGTTTAACTATTTTTTTTTAAAGTATGTGATATGTATGTAGATCAAACCTAGAGTTTGCTGATGTCAGTTCCCATGGATGATTCATGGAAATTTAGGGCAAGGTGAGGCAATCCAAGAGCTCTTTTTTTATTATAAGGAAACTGAAGCTAAGAGACACAAACTGATCATCCCACGCTGACTTTGGGACCATCCCAAAGTCCCTTGATGTGTAAACTTTGGAATGTGATCAGACTCCATTTTTTATGTGCACAGTCAGAAAATATAGCCTGAAATTGGAAAGGTAGCAAGAGACACAGCACCAGTCAAGATAAGAATGACCCAGGGTGACTATTTGGTTTTGTTTAGTCATTCAGTCATGTCCAACTCTTTGTGACCCTGTGGACTGTAGCCTACCAGGCTCCTCTGTCCATGGGATTTCCCAGGCAAGAATACTGGGGTGGGTTGTCATTTCCTTCTCCATGGGATCTTCCCAACTGAGGGATCAAACCCGTGTCTCCTGCTTTGCAAGTAGATTCTTTACCTCTGAGCCACCTGGGAAGAACAGGACAGAATTCCTTTTGCCCAACCCAGCAAGCTGTCGCCCAAATAAAAATACAGATTGGACCAGTATAATACAAAAGAGCACTTTGAAACTGTGGCCGGTTCCCCTACTTTGATTCAATCCCTTGGGGGCAAAATTCTCATTTATATCAGTGACACTTTTTTCCGGTATTAGCTTAACACATAATGATCTCTCTTCTATTTATATAGCACTTTCATTACAACCTTTCCTCTCTTCCAGCTCAGGAATCTCAAGCACTTCATTGCCACCTTCCTTATGGCATATTGCTTTCCAACTTGTTCACAGTTATTTATGTAAATGACAAATGTCGAAGTCCATAAGAGTAGGAAGACAGGATCTGTGTCAGATTCATGTCTGAAAACCTCAAAGCTCTTCAAACAATGCTTTGCATGCAGCAAATGTTGGACAAATATATGAATGAATTAGTGTTGCCACCATCTGAATAAGAATGACCAACATGATTTTGCTGAAAAAGGAAACTTTGACAGTATTTATGTGGTTTATCTGTGTTTGTCAATTTATACCTGCCTTCCAAAGAAAGTATTTATTGTGATTTATTGAATCTGTGAAGAAATTGTCCAATTCTCTAGACCACACTGGAATTGAGAACAATACCTAGAATTCTGAGTTCAAGTCCTTTTAAGTTTTATGTGATAAAATTTTGAGTGATACTCTGCCCTGCTTTGAGGATGAAAAAAAGAACAGAATACCAGTGAATGTGGTATAAGAAATGGAGACCTCCGCAGGAATTCCTTACAAACTCGTGGTGGAAGGCACAGGGACCCTTGTCCTTGGCAAGGGCACAAAGGAGGGAGTGGTACCCCTGGAATGCCACCCGGGCCTGGCTCCCCAGTCCTCCCTTCTCCCTAGTTGACCTTAGGGTCCGCCTGCGTATTTTCCTGCCACATAATGCTGATCATCTGCTCTCTCTGCTGCCTTCTAGTATGTTCTTCCTGTCAAACTGGCATAAACTGTCACTTAAAAATAAGCAGCCCAAGATAACATCAAAGCAATAACCTGAAACCCAGTGGCCAAGGCTCGAAGTGATCCATGCCAGCAGCTCCCCCTGCCCCCACTGTGGGCTGGGTGGGACCAGGGATAGACAAAACATAGAAGACAGAGGATTTCTGTGTCCCAAGGGGCCACTGCAAAACTCCATCTTTGGACAATATGCAGCTCTAAGGGGTCTCCAGTGCCAGCGGTCTGGGGGAGATGCCGTGTGAAAGCTCTGCATGAACCCTTTGGGTTCAGACACTTTGAGAAACTAGAAATGAAAAGGTAGGCTAGCTGGGAGTTCCACACACAGAGTCCAGGAAGGTCATAATGAAGATATTTTAGCAACGCTGAAAGTTTTAAAACATTGAATGGACACAATACGCTTGCCTTTAGGGAAGTGGTGAAGTATACAGGTCCTTGTGTCTGACTGTCCCCACTTAGAATCCCACTTGTAGCTAGCTGGGAGCCATACACATGTGCCTCTGCTATTCCAACCTCAGTTTTCCCATCTGTAAAGTAGGAGTAAAAATCCTCATATGAGTATGAGTAAAATCCTCATAGAATTTTATAAGGATTCAATAACGTAACACGAATATAGGACCTTTAATAAAGCTCGACAGGCTAATTAAAACACATTTTGGGGAGGATGAAAATGTTTCAGCTCATTATACAGCATTGGTCATTTCAAGTTGATCTAAAGTTCTGGATGAGATGAGAGTATAGACTCAGGGTGTGAATCCTGGCTCCACCACTGATGAAATCTGGGCCTCAATTTCCCCATCTGTAAATTGAGGACAATGACAGTATATACTATCACTGTTATGAGGACTGAAAATTTTAGTACATATAAGGCATGTAGAGGAGTATCCGACACAAAACAAGTTGGATATGTGATTATTTTTGTTGATCAATAGAAATAGAAAAGGGGACTATTTTTACTTAATAATTGTTTTGTTGACAAACCCTTCCAAACTTAGGATCCAAGCAGAAAAATAATAAAAAATAATAATAACCTGCCTTAGAGGTGATCAGTTAATATAAACACAACTGCGGGGAAAGGGAAAGTGTTTCACTCATTTCATTTTAAAAGTTGTCTTGGCCTGGGGAAAAGGTGTGGTTTCAGCAATAACCTGCGGAAAGGGGAGATCTGGTTACATGAATCCAGGCAGATGGATTGTGTGTCTACTTCCTCTCCCAGCCCTGAACAGGCAATCCCCAAACCACCAGGGCTTGAGTTACAGGGATCCTTCATAAGGCACTTGGAATTTGGAACACGTTTTCTCATAGGAATAGCAGCACATGTAGTTGTACAATTTCCAGGACAGCCCACAGCACGCTCATAATATTAAAAGTGAGTTCAGGAGCACAGCGCAGAGTGACGCGCTCTAACCTGAGCTCTGCTATCCTCGTGTGGTCACAGACAAGTCAGTCCACCACTCGGAACCTCAGGCGAGAAGTTCTCTGCCTGCTCGCCAGTGAAGACCGTGTCACGGTGGACACCTGAAGGCTGTGGGCTCTGAGAATACCGCATGATACTGCCCTTCATCCTAAAGGAAAATGCAGTAAAGATTCCTTGGAATTAAATATGCTCCAAATAGGAGACCCAAATCCAGGTCAACAGAGTATGTGATTTTCTCTCTTAGCAACTTAATTGGGACATAGATGATATTTTTTTTATTTTTAAAATTATGGTAAAAATGCATAAATATGTATGTAAAGTTTACCATGGTAAAATAGACATTACATAAAATTACCATTTTAAAGTACACAATCAAAATAAAATAAAATAAAGTACACAATCCAGTAGCATTAGGTATATTCACAATGTTAGGCAACCATCACCACTATCTAATTCCATAACTTTCATCACCCAGAAGGACATCCTGGGCCCATTAGCAGTTACTCCCCTTTTCCTGTCCCTACAGTCCCTGGTAACTACTAATCGACTCTGTTCTATGGATTTACCTACACTGGATATTTCTCTTTTTTTTATTTTTGGATATTTCATATAAATAGAACCATACAATACATGTCTTGTTGTGTCTGACTTCTTTCACTTAGCATAATGTTTTCACAGATCATTCATGTTACAGCCTCTATCAGAATTTCATTCCTTTTCATGGCTGAATAACGTTCTAACAAGTGGATATACCACAATTTGTTTATTCATTTATTGTTGATAGACATTTGTGTTATTTTCACCATATAGCTGTTAAAACATTGCTGCCATGAACATTCACGTGCACATTTTTTGTTTGCTTTTTTGTTGTTTTAATTGAAGTATAGTTGATTTATGATACTGTGTTAGTTTCAGACATGCAGCACAGTGATTCAGATAAATAGATATACTCACGTCAGTGTGTGTGGAGTGTGGGAGTGGACTCTCACAGTGACTGTGTCCTTTGCCATCTCAGCTGGCCTCGTCCTGGGCTCCAAACATGAGACCCGTCTGGTGGCAAAGCTCTTTGAAGGCTACAACAGTGTGGTACGGCCCGTGGAAGACCACCGCAATGTCGTGGAGGTCACGGTGGGCCTGCAGCTGATACAGCTCATCAACGTGGTGAGACAAGAGAGTTCCCAGTGCCCCACAGCCCCCATATCACCTAGTCCGGAGCATCCACTCCAACTCCCCACTTGTCCCCCTAAAGGCGGGCCTTATCTTTTTTTCAGGATGAAGTAAATCAGATCGTGACAACCAATGTTCGTCTGAAACAGGTAATGCAGCTAGATAAGTGTGTTCATGTTGTTCTTATTCACTCTGAAATTTAACATGGGCCCACAGGAAATCAATTTGGGTAACAGGGATATGTACCAAAATATTGAAAGCAGATATTTTGGGGTACTGGGATCAAGTTTTGTGTTCATTGCTATTATTATTTTTACTTTGTGCTTTTACTGTGTGTATTAGTTTGTTAGATCTGCTGGAACAAAGTCACAACCTAGACAACTTAAACAATTGAAACTTGCTCTATCACAGTTTCTGAGGCCAAAAGCCCAACATTAAGGTGTTGGTACAACTGGTTCCTTCTAAGGTCGTGAGGGAGAACCTGTTCCGGGCCTCTCTCCTTTGCTTAGAATTGGCTGTCTTCATGTTCACATGACTTTCTTTCTGAATATACATCTTCTTCAATGTCCCCTTCTTATACAGACACCAGTCATATTGGATTAGGGCCCACCTTAATGACCTCACTTTAACTTAATTACCTCTATAAACACCCTATCTCCAAATGAGGTCGTTTTCTGAGGTACAGGGGGTTAGAACTTTGTATTAATTTGGGGTAGACAGTTCAACATGGTGTTATCCAAATTTACTGCATTGGGAATATGTAACTTTTATAATGCATAAAAAATATAGCACTTTTCAAAAAGTGAGGTTGCTTGCTTGAGGAAAACGTTCACAATAGGGTCATTCTCCTTTGCTAAGGTGGGCAATGTACTTGGTGGCATGACTTGGGTCTACCTTTGTTTTCTCATCTGTAAAATGGGGTCAATAATCACTCCTACCTCATGAGAACATGAGGACTAAATGATGAATATGGGTTGAAATGCTTATAACTGTGCCAGCATGTACTCAGTGCTCTGTATTTGCTTTTACTTCTTACCAAAGTGAAAGCTAAACTCTGAATCAAACCCTTCTTACTGGAGCACAATTTCTGTCCATACCTGAATTACCATGCCCATCAGAGTGCTTGATAACCCCAGATTTTTTCATTGTTTTTCATTGACTAAAAATGTCTTCATTTCTAGCAATGGGTGGATTACAACTTAAAATGGAATCCAGATGACTATGGTGGCGTGAAAAAAATTCACATTCCCTCAGAAAAGATCTGGCGTCCAGACATCGTTCTGTATAACAAGTGAGCAAAACAGCCAGGATGAGAAGGCAGACACTCGAGGTGGGGGTGCGGGGGGAGTCCAAGTGCCCTAACGGAAGGGCTGCCACTCTCGGTAGGCGTTTCACCACTGTTCACATTAAATAACCCTTAAAAACTGAGAGCCAAGTTGACATGCTAGGGGTGCCATATGGTGTCTCATGTTATGAATAGAAACAATTATCAGAGCCAAATTGAATCAGGGCGGTGGGGTGGGGGACATTTAATCCCTGAGAACTCCTGAAGGGTATGTGGCAACTATCCAAGGAACCCAAACGTCCTATAATTGAGTTCCTTGGAATTAAATGTCCTTCCGACCAATAGGTCTGAACCTCCCGGGGTTGTTATTCATCACCTCCTCATGGCATCCCAGGACGCCGCGTGCTGCTGATGGCCCAGGATGCCTGTGTAGCCCATCCGCTGGGCTCTGTGACAGACTGCACGTTGTGAAATTATAATGTGATTCAAGACACTCTGCTTTAATGACACGTTCATTATCATACGCCCTTCATTTGTCAGGGAATGTTCGTTGCAAACAGCATCCTTCCAGGCAGCAGCATTCAACACTGGCGTAGAGGATTTGTGGCCTGACAGTCTGCAGCACGCGTCTGGGGCAAGCAGGCTGTGCATACTAGCAGACTCTCCAGGGAAGATGGCCAGGGCTAGTTAGCAGACATGATACCCTTTAAGGTGACCCTCCCCAACTTTCATATTTTATTGCATATTTTCCAATCAGACCTGAGATTCAAGCTTGAGCCAAAGTATCCAATCATTTTGCGTAAACTTTGGGACAGGTGTGCTGATAAGGAAGCAGTGTCTATCTCTCAGAGTTAAGTTTATTTTTCACTTAGAATCTAAGGGAAGCAATTAAAACCCTCTGGTCCTTTAGATCAGCTCAGTCAGAAACACTCTCACAGGAGAGAGAATCCCGTTTCACCTGCTTGGAAGGAGAAATGTAGACCATCCTCCCCCTCAGCTCTGTTGGGAGGGTCTAAATCTGCATAGTTTTCTGGATGGAGCCTCTTCTCAGTCCCAAGGAAAAATCAATGGGAAGAAAATTTCTTGATTTGTAAAGTGAGGCATGACATATCCCATATGTTCCTGGGGCGTCAGGCAGACCCCACCCACTTTTCAGCCCCTAATTATACTATCCTGCTCTCTGCCAAGGCCCTAGGGGACAGGCCATTTGGGGGATGAGTAGACCTGCAGGGGGAGTTTCTTATTTTTCAGTATTCACCATGCTGCTTTTTCAAATGAGAAATTATTGCCAACATTTGAAAATAGGAAAATATATCAAAACCTGAATTTTTAGCCCCTCTGCATGCATGCTCAGCCGCTTCAGTCTTGTGATCCCAAGGACTGCAGCCTGCCAGGCTCCTCTGTCCATGGAATTCACCAGGCAAGAATACTGGAGTGGGTTGCCATTTCCTTCTGCAGGGATCTTCCCAGCCCAAGCCAAACTCATGTCTTTCACGTTTCCTACAATGGCAGGCAGGTTCTCTACCACTACTGCCACCTTGGAAAGCCCTTGAGACTCTCTAGAAAATTCCAACATTCAAAAATATGAAAACTTTGGATTAGAAATCTAGATTTCCAGCTTCCAAGGAAGGATTAAACATCAGGCAACATGGAGCCTTCACTTCCATGCAGATACACTTCCTCACCGGAGTGAGGGGCTCTTCCTTTGTGATGCTCACCTCTTCCTCCTTCCTCACTTGCCAGGCCTAGAGGCATCTGAGTTTGTGATCCTACTCCACTGGAGTCTAAATAGTTCTTTCAAAGGTAATAAAATCCTCTTTAACCTGCTTATCACAGTAATGAGCCACTAGCCATATTTTTATTTAAAATTCCTGGATTTTTCCCCCAATTAACTTAAAAAACTTTTTTTAAATTAATTATTCTGCTCTTTGCTGCTGCGAGGGCTGCTTCTCTATTTGAGGAGAGGGGGGCTACTCTCCAGCTGTGGTGCACGGGCTTCTCGTTGCAGCGGCTTCTCCACTGCACAGCCCAGGCTCTAGGGCGCAGCGGACTCAGTAGCTGGGGCACGTGGGCTCAGCAGTCATGGCTCAGGGGCTTAGAGCACAAGCTCAGGACCTGTGACACACAGACTTAGTTACTGCGGGATCTTTCCAGATCAGAAATCGAAACTGTGTCTCCTGCATCGGCAGGTGGATTCTTTACCACTGAGCCACCAGAGAAGCGCCCCCAACTAATTTTTAAAGTATATCAGAGAGGGCACAGATGGAGAGTGGGGCTTCCTTGATAGCTCAGACAATAAAGAAACTGCCTGCAGTGCAGGAGACCTGGGTTCGATCCCTGGGTTGGGAAGATCTCCTGGAGAAGGAAATGGCTACCCACTCCAGTATTCTTGCCTGAGGAATCCCATAGACAGAGGAGCCTGGCGGGCTGCAGTCCATGGGTCGCAAAGAATTGCAAACGACGGAGCAAGTAACACTTTCGCCCTTCACTTTTTCAACATTACAAATACTACTGAGGACTGGGAAGAAAAAATCTGGGATGCAGTGGATCTGTGTTACCAGTTAGTGGTTTAAAACTATAGATTCTCAGGTTCATCCCCAAATATCCTGATTCAGTGCTTAGATTCAGTGCTCAGGGATCTATATTTAATTTTTTTAAATTGAAGTATAGTTAATGTGTTGGTTTCTAGTGTACAGCATAGTGACCTGGAGTTTTTGCAGATAAACTCCATTATGGGTTATTATAAGATATTGGATATAGTCCCCTGTATTACACAGTAAATCCTTGTTGCTTATCTATTTTAAGTATAGTAGTTTTTATCTGTTAACCCCATACTCCTGATTTATCCCTCCCCCTCCCCTTTGTTGATCGTAAGTTTGCTTTCTATATCTGTGAGTCTGTTTTGTATATGCATTCACGTATATTATTTGACAGGTTCAGGAATCTCTATTTTAAACAAACGCCCCAGTGATCCTTATTATCAGGCAACTTTGGAAAGCACTGCCATAGATAAAAAGTGACGCTGCTCAAAAGAAAGCGTCTATAGTTAGCACCTGAGTAATTAACAGCTGTCCCCTGTTGGCACCCCCAAGCAGAACTGAAGGCTCGCCTGTTACTTGGAGCCCTGCTCTTCTTTTGTCCCAATTGTAGTGCGGACGGTGACTTTGCCATCGTCAAGTTCACCAAAGTGCTCCTGGACCACACTGGCCACATCACGTGGACGCCTCCCGCCATCTTTAAGAGCTACTGCGAGATCATCGTCACCCACTTTCCCTTTGATGAACAGAACTGCAGCATGAAGCTGGGCACGTGGACCTACGACGGCTCCGTGGTGGCCATCAACCCGGTATGTGGAGACCCCTTGGGAGGAGTTTGGATGCAGGGAAAGCAGGATTTAGGTCTTCAACTCTGCCTCTCCATTATCGCAGGCTCACTGCATCCGTTAGCTCTTTGGGGATCATCTACTTTCCTGCTTTTCAATTGCTTGGCAAGTTCTTGACATGCTACATAAGAGAACCATCTGGGGCTTACATAATTTCCTATGCCCAGGCTCAAGCCCAATAAATCTGATCGAATCAGCCTAGGGTGGAGCTAGGGCATCAATATGTTTTAAAGCTCCCAGTTCAGTTCAGTTGCTGAGTCGTGTCCGACTCTTTGTGACCCCATAGACCGCAACACGCCAGGCCTCCCTGTCTATCACCAACTCCTGGAGTTCACTCAAACTCACGTCCATTGAGTCGGTGATGCCATCCAACCATCTCATCCTCTGTCGTCCCCTTCTCCTCCCGCCTTCAATCTTTCCCAGCATCAGGGTCTTTTCAAATAAGTCAGCTCTTCGCATCAGGTGGCCAAAGTACTGGAGTTTCAACTTCAGCGTCAGTCCTTCCAATGAACATTCGGGAGTGATTTCCTTTAGGATGGACTGATTGGATCTCCTTGCAGTCCAAGGAACTCTCAAGAGTCTTCTCCAACACCACAGTTCAAAAGCATCAATTCTTCAGCGTTCAGCTTTCTTTATAGTCCAACTCTCACATCCATACATGACTACTGGAAAAATCATAACCTTGACTAGATGGACCGTTTTTGGCAAAGTGTCTCTGCTTTTTAACATGCTGTCTAGGTTGGTCATAACTTTTCTTCCAAGGAGTAAGGGTCTTTTTATTTCATGGCTGCAATCACCATCTGCAGTGATTTTGGAGCCCTAAAAAATAAAGTCAGCCACTGTTTCCACTGTTTCCCCATCTATTTGCCATGAAGTGATGGGACTGGAAGCCATGATCTTTGTTTTCTGAATGTTAAGCTTTAAGCCAACTTTTTCACTCTCCTCTTTCACTTTCATCAAGAGGCTCTTTAGTAGTTCTTCACTTTCTGCCATAAGGGTGGTATCATCTACATATCTGAGGTTATCGATATTTCTCCTGGCTATCTTGATTCCAGTTTGTGCTTCATCCAGCCCAACATTTCTCATGATGTACTCTGCATATAAGTTAAATAAGCAGGGTGACAATATACAGCCTTGACATACTCCTTTTTCTATTTGGAACCATTCTGTTGTTCTATGTCCAATTCTAACTGTCGCTTCCGGACCTGCATACAGATTTCTCAAGAGGCAGATCAGGTGATCTGGTATTCCCATCTCTTGAAGAATTTTCCACAGTTTATTATGATCCACACAGTCAAAGGCTTTGGTGTAGTCAATAAAGCAGAAATAGATGTTTTTCTGGAACTCTTGCTTTTTCGATGACCCAGCAGATGTTGGCAATTTGATCTCTGGTTCCCCTGCCTTTTCTAAAACCAGCTTGAACATCTGGAAGTTCACAGTTCATGTATTGTTGAAGCCTGGCTTGGAGAATTTTGAGCATTACTTTGCTGGCATGTGAGATGAGAGCAATTGTGCAGTAGTTAGAGCAGTCTTTGGCATTGCCTTTCTTAGGGACTGGAATGAAAACTGACCTTTTTCCAGTCCTGTGGGCGCTACTGAGTTTTCCAAATTTGCTGACATATTGAGTGCAGCACTTTCACAGCATCATCTTTTAGGATTTGAAATAGCCCAACTGGAATTCCATCACCCCCACTAGCTTTGTTCATAGCGATGCTTCCTAAGGCCCACTTGACTTCACATTCCAGGATGTCTGGCTCTAGGTGAGTGATCACACCATCATGATTACCTGGGTTGTGAAGATCTTTTTCTGTATAGTTCTGTGTATTCTTGCCACCTCTTCTTAATATCTTCTGCTTCTGTTAGGTCCATACCATTGCTGTCCTTTATTGAGCCCATCTTTGCATCCAATGTTCCCTTGGTATCTCTAATTTTCTTGAAGAGATCTCTAGTCTTTCCAATTCTATTGTTTTCCACTATTTCTTTGCACTGATCACCGAGGAAAGCTTTCTTGTCTCTCCTTGCTATTCTTAAAGTTCCCAGGTGACTTGAATATATAGTCAACATGGAAAAAATCCCAACAGTCCCAACCCACTTATTTTTTATTTTTTTAAAGAATTTTTTGGGATGTGGACCATTTTCAAAGTCCTTATTGAATTTGGTACAATATCACCTCTGTAGTGTTTTGGTTCCCTGGCAGAGCAGCATGTGGGACTCCAGCTCCCCAACCAGGAATCATCCCCACTCCCGCTGCATTGGAGGGTGAAGTCCCATCTGCCGGACTACCAGGAAAGCCCCCAACCCCCTCCTTTTATAGGAGAGGAACATACACAAGATTCCCTCCTAGGTATGTGACAGCACTGGAATCTGTTGCTTTGTCACAGCTGGTTAGGAAACCCTGCCCCTCCTCATGGTGACAAGGCTGGGATTTCAAAGTTTCATTCCGTCTTCTCAGGAAAGCGACCAGCCAGACCTGAGCAACTTCATGGAGAGTGGAGAATGGGTGATCAAGGAGTCCCGGGGCTGGAAGCACTGGGTGTTCTACGCCTGCTGCCCCTCCACCCCCTACCTGGACATCACCTACCACTTTGTCATGCAGCGCCTGCCTCTCTACTTTATCGTCAACGTCATCATCCCCTGCCTGCTCTTCTCCTTCTTAACCGGCCTGGTGTTCTACCTGCCCACGGACTCAGGTGGGTGCAGTTGCCATGGTGGCGGCTGCTGCCGCGGTTGGATCTCGCGCTGCTATTTTAGGGGAAGCCGAAAATAACCATGGCTGATAAACAAATACAGGCAGACAGACCCAAAGCAGCAGCCCTGGAAGGATGCGTGCCCTGAGTGGCCATGTGTAGGGGTGAAGGCCACTGGGGCAGACAGCAGGGCGGGCAGAGAGCCGAATGTGCCCTGAAGATGCGCACACACCGCTCTGGTTAAGTGAATAACCACCGGCACCTATTTGTTGAATACCTGCTGTGTGCCCTGAAACATGTTGGGCAAGGCATGGATCACAGACACTCCCAGGGCCCCTTCCCGCGTGAAGTCACTTGCTCTCTATGACTAACCCAGGTCTTGCCTCTTTTATCTAGTGCTTGCTGCTTGAAAATAGCTTTTGTGTATCTCTTCTCCAGATGGCAGTATCTTTACACATAAGACAATACTTCCCAAGTGGCAGTTCTGTCTCCTGTATCAGCCTGGGTCTCCTACTGAGTAATCACATCTGTGACATAATTTCACCAGACACCAACATTCTAGAGAAAAGGGGGAAAGGAAACACACATGTCTGCCATCAAGTCATTGCTCTCAAACAATGTAAGGCAGACAAGTAGAAAAAAAAGATAGTAAGATAGTCCTCAAACTTATGCCAGAAAACAATTGTATCAAAATGCCACAGAAGAACTCCCACAAAAGTCTAAATCCAACTTTCCAATAAGTAAGAAAAAAAAAAAGCTTACACATTCACTCACTCATCATATACCTTTTAAACAACTGTTGCAAGACAGGAATAAGGTAAAGAATAAGGCAGAATTTGCCCCCACAGAATGTATGTTCTAGGGGATTGTATTTGTTCTTAAACAAATGGTCACAAATATTTTTTCAACTTTCTAATCAAATGAAGTTTATCAAAGTGAAGAGAGAAAACTCTAGGCAGGACACTATGGAAACTAAACAAAGTTTCTATCAATATTAGACGATTTATGCTAGAAAAGCATCTAGAGCAGTGAGACAGTTTGATAAGTGTTAGCTACTATTATCATTAATTGAGAAATTTGATGTACTTTGATCCATATTTTACATTTATAATTCTGTTTCCTTTTTTACTTTTGAAGACTTTCCTATCCACCAGAAATTGACAACTTCTTGTTTGCCTCCACTCTGGATCCTGGGTATATCACTAACATCTGAAAGCATCCAGAATGGGCAAAGTTCCACACTGGAAAGCAGGGCCACATGAGGGTTTCCCAGGACACAAACAGCAAGACCAGCCCTAGGAAAGTCCCTTCCAAAGGCTCTTTACTGCCTCTGAGCTGATCAATCCCCACAAAACTATTCCAGTGTCATTCACTCCCTGGCTTTCTTGTTTACTTGTCCAGGCAAGACACCATCCGGGAATTGTCTGCCCTGAAATTGAAGGGCCTGGGGAGAAGGTTCAGGGGAGAGGGAATCCCTTGGCCCTTAACATGAAAACAAAAACAAAAACATCAAAACACACACACACACAAAACAAGTCATCCCCTTAGATGAGAAACTGGGTGGTGTGAAATCATTGATTTTGTCCTTTTTCAGCATTGGTCTTGCAGCTTGCTTCCACAGTGAGAAAGATACATGTACTTCTGACCTACACATCCATCTGCTGAGTAACAAGTAGGCCAGGCTGTGATTCAGTTTTGTGAGGTTTAAGATGTTCTGCTGCAGACAGGAAAACTACCATCTGGGTTCTCACTTGCCACCCAGAACCTCTCTGGTTTCCCTGGATTCCACCGAGAAATAGAATTCTGGGGCATGAGATGAAGTAGCATTTCCTGCTTGGCAGCAGCTGATGGAAACACTAGCCACTTGCCATTGTCAGCAGAGTTAAGGTGCCAGGGTCTCACAGGAAATACTGCAGGAAAAAACTCCCCAGTGTGAGGCTTTGAGAACAGGCCAGTCACGTTCCTCCCTCACCCTTGGGTTTCACTGCTGTATTCATTTGCTAGGGCTGCCTAGCAAGGACCCCAGGCTGGTGGCTTAAACAACAGAAATTTATTTTCTCATAGTTCTGGGGGCTGGAAATCAAGGTCAAGGTGTCAGCAGGATTGGTTTGCTCTGAACCCTCTCTTCTTGGCTGGCAGATGACTGTCTTCTCCCTGTGCCCTCACATGGCCTTTTCTGTCTGTGTCTTAATCTTTTCTGATACGGACACCAGTCACCAGTCCTATTGGATGAAGACCCACCCTAACACCTCATTTTAATTTAATTACCTCTGTAAAGGCCCTGTTTCCAAATACAGTCCCTGAGGTGCTGGGGTTTGGGGCTTCAACAAATAAGTTTACTGTCAGTTGTGTTCAATGCTTTGTGACCCCATGGACTATAGCCTGCCTGGCTCCTCTGTCCATGGGATTCTCCAGGCAAGAGTACTGGAGTGGGTTGCCATGTCCTCCTCCAGGGGTCTTCCCACCCAGGCATCAAACACAGGTCTCCTACATTGCAGGCAGATTCCTTACCGGCTGAGCCACCTAGGAAGCCCTATAGATTTGGCGGGGAGAGCAGTTTAGCCCATAACAGGTTGTGTCTGTCTCCTCTTCATTTCATCCAGGAGAGAAGATGACCCTCAGCATCTCTGTCTTGCTGTCCTTGACTGTGTTCCTTCTGGTCATTGTGGAGCTGATCCCTTCCACCTCCAGCGCCGTGCCCTTGATTGGGAAGTACATGTTGTTTACCATGGTGTTTGTCATCGCATCCATCATCATCACCGTCATCATCATCAACACGCACCACCGCTCCCCCAGCACCCACGTCATGCCCGAGTGGGTGCGGAAGGTGAGTGAATAAGGCACTGGGACGCTTTGCACGGGGCAGCCGCTCCCTGCAGGGCATCTGCAAATCTCCCCTTCCATCTGGCCAGTGGCGTCCTAGGTAACCCTGCTAGGCACTTAAAAACAAAAAGGCTTTCTTGGGCTGTAGGGGCTTTGGGGGAGGAATTTTTCTGGACTCTGGCTGAAGATAAATAACTCATGTAGCCTCTCCAAGGAGATGAGAAAGCCAGAATTAACAAAGCCCACTTCAACCTTAAAGAATCTCTTTGATTAGAAAAGACAAATCACAATCTTTTAATTCAAATACCATGAAATCTTGACCTGTTTGTATGTGAACAGACTGATTATTTCTTTGCTGGTGGATCATCTGCTGAGACTAGGGCTGGAGACTCGGGGGTCGGGGTGGCTGGGCTTGATGAGAGGTTGTCAAAAAGTTAAGTTTTAATGAAGAACTTGCTCTCATATATTTATTTTACTAAATTTTAAAATGTGTTAACATTTCAGGTATATCAGTTCTTTCACACATATTCACACAGACACTAATGTCCAGGCTTTTGTGCACAATGCAAAAGATTTGTCATGACCTGACAGAGAAACTACCGCTTGCAATGCATTCTCTGGGGAGGATAAGTAGTCTCTGCTTCTCTAAAGGCTGTTAAGTAACGCCTAGCAATATCTATAGGGCTTCCCAGGTGGTGCAGAGGTAAAGAACCTGCTTGCCAGTACAGGAGATACAGGAGACTTGGGTTTGATCCCTGGGCCAGGAACATCCCCTGGAGGAGGAAACAGCAACCCGCTCCAGTATTCTTGCCTGGAGAATCTCATGGACAGAGGAGCCTAGAGTGCTGCAGTCCATGGGGTCACAAAGAGTTGGACATGACTGAGCACGAATGCAGCAATACCTATGTTGCATTTCTTCAGGAACAAGAAACAGAAGAAAACAGTCTACTGTTTTGTGGGGTTGGAACTTAATTTTTTGTTTTTTGGCAGGAGGGGCCCCTTAATCTTTTGGTCATGAGAATAGGGGCTTTGAAGAAAGCAGGGGCTTATAAGGGGGTCTGGAAGCTTAACCATCAGTGGTTTCTTAGGAGTCCAATAGCTGCACACTGGCTCCCTCCAGTGGCCAACTGCTGGCATTACAGGGTCATCTCTATTAGCCTTAGTCATTTAACAGGCCACAGTACACAGATGAATCTGAGAAAATCTAGTATGGTCCTTTTGTTTTAGGGACAAAAGTGGCTGAGGCCTAGAGAACCTGAATGACTTGCCTAAGGTCTCATTGCTTACTCAAAATCATAGTTTGATGCTTGCTCTGCTGACAATAATTCCCATACCTGGACTTCTTTTGTATTAGGTTTTTATCGACACTATCCCAAATATCATGTTCTTCTCCACGATGAAAAGACCATCCAGAGAAAAACAAGACAAAAAGATTTTTACGGAAGACATTGATATTTCTGACATTTCTGGGAAGCCAGGGCCTCCACCAATGGGTTTCCACTCTCCCCTGATCAAACACCCAGAGGTGAAAAGTGCCATTGAGGGCATCAAATACATCGCAGAGACCATGAAGTCGGACCAGGAGTCCAATAACGTAAGCTTTGTGACTTGAGATCTGCACCTTGGGGTTTAAATGGTCATGTGCTCAAGCACAGAGCATCTGATGGGTTTAGCTTGATGGGAAGGTTGGCATTCAAGGGGCAGTTAGTGATGTAAGATGTGCCTGATGACTCCCTAGGCCATCTTAGCAAGTCATCACATTGTGAATAACCTCTTTTAAAAATAAAGATCACAGTGCCAGTGGAGGGAGGATCCACAGTCAAAGGGCCCCTGGATGACGGATAGCATGAATGTTGCGAGGCCACGATCACCTTCAGGACATTCTGACACTTTTCTCTCTCCCAGGCGGCTGAGGAATGGAAGTATGTTGCGATGGTGATGGACCACATTCTCCTGGCAGTCTTCATGCTCGTCTGCATCATCGGAACCCTGGCTGTGTTTGCAGGTCGGCTCATTGAATTAAATCAGCAAGGATGAGTGGAAAGCTGGGCTGAACCTCTGCGCCAGGGAGATCTGTCTAGTTGGATACATGCTCACTTATCAGATATTCAATTTTCTGTATTTATTATTCATGGCAACGGTTTATGTTTACATAAGGTTATGGCCTCCAAGTGTGTTCACATTGCTTCTCCCTTCACTCCTGCTGTGGCTGCCTGGAGAGTGAATCCTTTGCAGTAAGTGAACCTGGATTGCTACAAAAGGCATTCATTTCCAGCAGCATCTGGAAGAATTTTGCCTATGATAACTGAGGTTTTCTGTTAGTTAAAAAAATTTTTTTTTTAATTTTAAGCAAAGAGTCTATTCTTTGCTTAATAGTCAGTTTTGTACTTACTAAAAAAGCCCCATCTGCCAGTCCCCCAAAGATAAAGCATTTGACTTGGAGAGAAGGAAAGCAATAGAAAGACAACAGGGAGATTCTAGAATGGCCACCAAAATACAAACTGCCTCAAAAACCCAAGTTTTGAAGTTTCTAGAATTTGGAGGTGAGGGAATGTCTTCCCAATCTAACACAGCACCTGAGTTTGATGTTTGGGGTTTGAGGGAAAAGAGTAACTAACCTGATTAGAGTGTGGGGCCAGGCACTGTGGGATGGGATCACATGTATGTTTCTTTTTTATCCTCATAACTCTGTAAATGTCCCTAGTTTACAAATAAGAAAACTGAACTTGAGGGAGGTTAAGTTCATTATCCAAACTAGCAAGTAGAACTGACATTTGAACCCAAATCTTATGGATTCAAAGTAGCTCTGAGCTGGGCCAGTTCATCGCTCACTTGCTCTTTGGATCAACCCTGGCTCCATCTGGGCCATTCTGTGACTCTAGTCAGTGTTTTCGAGAGGTTCAGTCCTAGTATTAGCCATCTTCCTGCCTTCCCAAATAAGGCACCTGCCTTTCCCCCAGTCTTTATCCCAATCCTGTTCGAGGTTCTAGTTCTATGAATGAAATCACAAATGTGTGCCCATATCATCATTTCTACAATTCTGGACACACGAGTAGCAGAGGAAATTTATTTCCTTTCTTTATAGCAACCTCCTGGCAACAGGCAGTGCACCCCAGTACTGGAAAATGTACAGCCCTGGGCTCAGTAAAGACCATCATCCCCAGAACACATCTGATCCACATCAGTAGCAGAGAGAGTGGGGAATGGCAGTACCAGACGACCTGTCTGAACTCAGGCGATTTCAATCTCTGTCTCCTTGGCATTCCCCATGACACATCCAGGATGTGTGCCGGCAGGATTGAGTGCCTCATTTATGAGTAAACTAAAGGGAAAACAGTTTGGCATTTCCTCAAAAACTAGGCATAGAATCATCATATGATCCACCCACTCCACTCCTAGGCATACACCCAAAAGAACTGGAAGCAGGGACTTGAACAGATCCTTGGATACCAATATTTACTGCTGAATTATTTATAATAGCCCAAAGGTAAAAAGCTACCCATGTCCATCAGCATAAGAGCAAATGTATGGAGGAATGAAGTTTTTATAAATACTCTAATAAAGATCAATCTTGAAAACATTATGCTAAGTAAATAAGCCAGATCTGAAAGGACAAGTATTGTATGATTCTGCTTATGGGAGTTACCTAGAGCAGTCAAATTCATAGAGACAGAAGACAGAATAGCAATTACTAGGGTTTGGGGAGAGGGGTGAGTTATTGCTTAGTAGGTAGAGCTTCAGTTTGAGATGATGAAAAAGTTCTGAAAGTGGATAGTTGTGGTGGGTGTACAACATTGTGAATGTACTTGATGCCACTGAACTGAATGTTTAAAAATGGTTAAGATGGTGAATTGTATGTGCATTTGACCATAATAAAAAGTAAAAAATTGGTAAGTTTCATGTTCTGTATATTTTACAACAATTAGATTAAAAAAAGAGGAAGAGAGATTCAGTACCTAAATCTGCTTGCCTAATTTATTGCAGTCCCCCAGGATTCACTCATGATTCAGAGAAGGAACTTAAAAGTCATGTCCATTCTAAGGACAAGGAAACTGAGTCTCCCTGATCAGTGACTTCCCTCAGGTCACAGAGCTATTAGTGACAAATCAGTTCTCTTAATTCCTGCTCTCATGCTGTTTACTTTATATCAAATAGCCCATTTGTCCTCCAACAGTGATACCTTCCAACATGTTCCCTGCTCACCTTCTGGCCTGGAAGCCAGCAAGGAGGCCCCGAGTAAGTATAATAAAGCTTCACTGTGTGAAGCTCCATCAGCCCCTAAATACCTGTTCCATCAATCTGTCACCGAGTTGAGGACTTTTCACCTTTGGACTCTCTTCCTTTCATTAAGGGCTGATTTCCTGATGAAATGGGAGGGGAGACAGACAGTTCTGGGATCTGTCCCCCCTAGAGGTGAGCACCCAGCCCTGGCCTGCCTCCGTGTGGCTTTATCGATGAGTGTGTCTGGATAAAGGGGTGACTTTGGGGAAAATAAGGAGCATCCTCAGACTGGAACAAGACAAGTGTTCTTGGGGGTGGGGAGTAGGGAGGCTGTTATAGACTGAAAATGGAAGGAGGAATTGTTCAGACTTTGAATCCCTACATTGTTTTTTCCTTTATGAACAATTAAATCAGATGGTGAGAAGTTTTGGGCTGAGGTGGGAGGTATTTGGTTTTGGCTCCAATCACTGTGGACCACAATGCCAATGTGTTCATTCTGGGGGTGATGGGCGGGGCAGAGGCGCTCAGGCGGCCTCCCTGCCCATGGCCAGAGGTCTCCCCTCACACCCTAACTACTGGGTCTTGCTTTGAAGCCTGAGTTTCCCTGTTCCTAGTTCTCAATTCACCACTTTCAAGGTCATTTCTCTCACTGCTGTTGTTGAGTTCTAGGTCTGCTCCAGTTCTTCAGGGGCAGAGCCACTGAGCACCCCCCCAACCTGAATTCCTCATCTCTTGCTCCCCCAAATCACCTGCCCCCCACCTCTGCCTGCCAATCACTACGACCATTGTCTCCACCTCTGTCTAAGGTCTGCCTCCACCCGTTGCCTCAATTTTCAACCACTACTGCCCGAGTCCTTCTCATCAGCCAGTCCAAGTCTGTGCTGACGGGGCTCTGAGTGGACACTTGCTCTCTGCTGCCTGGGTTCTCCATACGCTGCTGCCTAAGGTCAGTCTCAACGCTCAGCATGACATCTCTTCTTCTGCTTCACACCTGCCTGTGTTCCTTGACGCACACCGCCCCCGGGCTGCCACCTTTCCTTTTGAATCACACAGTCACCCGCCCTGAGGCTTCCCCACTGCTACTCAATATGCCAGCAAATTTGGAAAACTTAGCAGTGACCACAGGACTGGAAAAGGTCAGTTTTCATTCCAACCCAAAGAAAGGCAATGCCAAAGTATGTTCAAACTACTGCACAATTACACTCATCTCACACGCTAGCAAAGTAATGCTCAAAATTCTCCAGGTGAGGCTTCAACAGTGTGTGTACTAAGAACTTCCAGATGTTCAAGCTGGATTTTAAAAAGGCAGAGGAACCAGAGATCAAATTGCCAACATCCGTTGGATCATCGAAAAAGCAAGAGAGTTCCAGAAAAACACTTACTTCTGCTTTATTGACTATGCCAAAGCCTTTGACTATGTCAGGTCAGTTCAGTCACTCAGTCATGTCCAACTCTTTGAGACCCCATGGACTGTAGCACGCCAGGCTTCCCTGTCCATCAGCAACTCCCAGAATTTACTCAAACTCATGTCCATCGAGTCAGTGATGCCATCCAACCACCTCATCCTCTGTCATTCCCTTCTCCTCCTGCCTTCAATTTTGCCCAGCATCAGGGTCTTTTCCAGTGAGTCAGTTCTTCGCATCAGGTGGTCAAAGTAATGGGGTTTCAACTTCAGCATCAGTCCTTCCAATGAATATTCAGGAGTGATTTCCTTTAGGATTGACTGGTTTGGTCTCCTTGCACTCCAAGGGACCCTCAAGAGTCTCCTCCAATGCCACATTATGGTCCAACTCTCACATCCATACAGGAATACTGGAAAAACCATTGGTTGTGGATCACAACAAATTGTGGAAAATTCTTAAAGAAATGAGAATACCAGACCACCTTACCTGCCTCCTGAGAAATCTGTATGAAGGTCAAGAAGCAAGAGTTAAAACAGGACATAGAACAACAGACTGGTTCCAAATTGGGAAAGGAGTACGTCAAGGCTGTATATTGTCACCCTGCTTATTTAACTTATATACAGAGTACATAATGTGAAATGCTGGGCTGGATGAAGCACAAGCTGGAATCAAGATTGCTGGGAGAAATATCAATAACCTCAGATATGCAGATGACACCACCCTTATGGCAGAAAGTGAAGAGAAACTGAGGAGCCTCTTGATGAAAGTGAAAGAGGAGAGTGAAAAAGCTGGCTTAAAGCTCAACATTCAGAAAACTAAGATCATGGCATCTGGTCCCATCACTTCATGCCAAATAGATGGGGAGACAGTGGAAACAGTAACAGACTTTATTTTCTTGGGCTCCAAAATCACTGCAGATGGTGACTGCAGCCATGAAATTAAAAGGATTGGAAGAAAAGCTATGACCAAGCCAGATAGCATATTAAAAAGCGGAGACATTACTTTGTCAACAAAAGTCTGTCTAGTCAAAGTTATGGTTTTTCCAGTAGTCATGTATGGATGTGAGAGTTGGACCATAAAGAAAGCTGAGCGCCAAAGAATTGATGCTTTTGAACTGTGGTGTTGAAGGAGACTCTTGAGGGTCCCTTGGACTGCAAGGAGATCAAACCAGTCAATCCTAAAGGAAATCACTCCTGAATATCCATTGGAAGGACTGATGCTGAAGCTAAAACTCCATTACTTTGGTCACTTGATGTGAAGAACTGACTCACTGGAAAAGACCCTGATGCTGGGCAAGATTGAAGGCAGGAGGAGAAGGGGACGACAGAGGATGAGATGGTTGGATGGCATTACCAACTAGATGGACATGAATTTGAATACATTCTGGGAGTTGGTGATGAACAGGGAGGCCTG